TCTCCCGATATATATATATATATATATATATATATATATATATCGTCACAAACAGAACTGCCTGGTAAACCGTAGGCAGAGAGAGAGAAGAGGACAACAAACGAGGGGCTGTGACAAAAGGTTTCGTCGGAGTTTCACCGACTCATCAAGAGGCTGAACCCTCAACAGTCTGCAGAATCCCCTCACTGATTATATATACATATATATTACTAGTTCTCGATTTATGTTTGTCATCCTTGCACAGATACCATGCAGATTCGGATGGTGGATTTCTGCCGCACGAATTTAACGATCGTGCAGCCGAAATCGACCGCAGCTAATGACCCAAACCCCATGGGCTGCTCCTATAAAAGGAGTTAGTGTCAGTAGGGTGTCATTGGGTTCAATCCCAGCATCAACGGGGTGAGAAGTCAATGCGGTAGCCTACGGGGCTAGCTCCTATTCATGGGAGTAATGCCCGCAACTCTCCTATTTGAAGAGTTGCACTCAGTAGGCTGCCTAGTCCCTGGCCTAGGCAGGCCTTGCCTTCTGACCCTATTTTTGTTGGTTGGTAGCGCAACCACGGCTCGAACAATCACCCCACCGAGTAGGTCACAATATCGGCTTCCCGACCCCCAGTATGGAGTCAACCTTGAGGGCGCACTAACCAAGAAGAATACATTTTTTATTTTCCCCGCGTCGCAACTCCATACCTAGCGTGGTCATTCCTTTTAACCTTCTTATACCGTGAATAGGTCTAGCTTTAGCATTCCCACAACCGTATGTTTCCTCGGCCCTATGAGAATCGCATCTGACTAGTCACACTGCCGATTATCACCATTATTCTCGAACGTCACAACGTCCGGACTAAGGTTAAAAAAAAAGTTTGTCTCTCGGTTTTAGGCTAGTCTTAACAACCTTCTGGCAAACGTCATTCTCATCAAGTATCTCAATTCAACGAAAAAGTCAAACAACATCCGTTGAAAAACCTGAGCAGATATCTCTGTAAGAGTTTCAGTTCCAACATCGTTTCTTCGGCCCATGGCACATCCTTCAGGTCGTCGGTTATGATATTGTCGCTAGTCCGATCATCTTTTGTGTGAAGTTGTCTGATAACCTTCAACACGTTCGCGTACATGATGTTTACCACGTCTCCTTGTTGCGTCCTTATTCCAGTCTGTCCAAACGATTCGTCGGACGACCTTACGAACGCCCGCCACCTATTATGGTTGACGGTCACGAGGAGTTCGTAATTTCTGACATTTTATCTTGTCGAGTTACCGACAATACTCGTTCACACATTGAGTATCTGGTGCGTTGGAAAAACTACCTGATGAGGAGGTTACTTGGGAGCCGTTTAAGCACTTAAAACACACCCGAATATTAATGTGTGCATATGATCGTGCTCGTCATACTGAGACGTTTGCTCCTACACAGCTGACCGACTTTCTTCCTCCTCCTCCGGATGAGAACATTGTTGAGGTCCGCACCCTAGTATGAGGCGGTTCTCCAGCAGCAGACGGACACCTCGCACATCCATAATGCACTTATTGACGCCCTTGGTGTCTCGACGACGGACACTCTTATCACCTTCCTATCTCATAGCACTAACTCACACTATCATGTACTCCATTATGAGCTTCTTTAAGATGTCAGTATTTTGTTGTTCTGCTTCGACATTGACTCGACTCCTACTTCGTCGACATCATCGACCACTTCGACGATTTCAACTACCTTATCGACTTTCGTTACTTTGGACGTGACTACTTCACGTCACACCCTACCGTGTGCATTTCTTTGTATGTGCCGCATGATGATGCTCATCTAGTTGGTTCTCCCTGAGTTTTGCGCTCCCTTGGTATCACATAGGCACTAGGACCATGGCGTTACCCTGGCTTCCCTGCTCCCAGATCTGTCTCCCTCCTCAGTCAGTGAGTTGTGTGCATGTTTCCCTCACCCACTGCCCTCAT